TGAAGCTGTGGTAGATTATTCAGCTGTTGTAGTGAAGCTGTGGTAGATTATTCAGCTGTTGTAGTGAAGCTGTGGTAGATTATTCAGCTGTTGTAGTGAAGCTGTGGTAGATTATTCAGCTGTTGTAGTGAAGCTGTGGTAGATTATTCAGCTGTTGTAGTGAAGCTGTGGTAGATTGTTCAGCTGTTGTAGTGAAGCTGTGGTAGATTGTTCAGCTGTTGGAGCTGTGGTAGATTGTTCAGCTGTTGTAGTGAAGCTGTGATAGATTATTCAGCTGTTGAAGCTGTGGTAGATTGTTCAGCTGTTGTAGTGAAGCTGTGATAGATTATTCAGCTGTTGGAGCTGTGATAGATTGTTCAGCTGTTGTGAAGCTGTGATAGATTGTTCAGCTGTTGTAGTGAAGCTGTGATAGATTATTCAGCTGTTGAAGCTGTGGTAGATTGTTCAGCTGTTGTAGTGAAGCTGTGATAGATTATTCAGCTGTTGAAGCTGTGGTAGATTGTTCAGCTGTTGTAGTGAAGCTGTGATAGATTATTCAGCTGTTGAAGCTGTGGTAGATTGTTCAGCTGTTGTAGTGAAGCTGTGATAGATTATTCAGCTGTTGAAGCTGTGGTAGATTGTTCAGCTGTTGTAGTGAAGCTGTGATAGATTATTCAGCTGTTGAAGCTGTGGTAGATTGTTCAGCTGTTGTAGTGAAGCTGTGATAGATTATTCAGCTGTTGGAGCTGTGATAGATTGTTCAGCTGTTGTGAAGCTGTGATAGATTGTTCAGCTGTTGTAGTGAAGCTGTGGTAGATTGTTCAGCTGTTGTAGTGAAGCTGTGATAGATTATTCAGCTGTTGGAGCTGTGATAGATTGTTCAGCTGTTGTGAAGCTGTGATAGATTGTTCAGCTGTTGTAGTGAAGCTGTGATAGATTATTCAGCTGTTGAAGCTGTGGTAGATTGTTCAGCTGTTGTAGTGAAGCTGTGATAGATTATTCAGCTGTTGAAGCTGTGGTAGATTGTTCAGCTGTTGTAGTGAAGCTGTGATAGATTATTCAGCTGTTGAAGCTGTGGTAGATTGTTCAGCTGTTGTAGTGAAGCTGTGATAGATTATTCAGCTGTTGAAGCTGTGGTAGATTGTTCAGCTGTTGTAGTGAAGCTGTGATAGATTATTCAGCTGTTGAAGCTGTGGTAGATTGTTCAGCTGTTGTAGTGAAGCTGTGATAGATTATTCAGCTGTTGAAGCTGTGGTAGATTGTTCAGCTGTTGTAGTGAAGCTGTGATAGATTATTCAGCTGTTGAAGCTGTGGTAGATTGTTCAGCTGTTGTAGTGAAGCTGTGATAGATTATTCAGCTGTTGGAGCTGTGATAGATTGTTCAGCTGTTGTGAAGCTGTGATAGATTGTTCAGCTGTTGTAGTGAAGCTGTGGTAGATTGTTCAGCTGTTGTAGTGAAGCTGTGATAGATTATTCAGCTGTTGGAGCTGTGATAGATTGTTCAGCTGTTGTGAAGCTGTGATAGATTGTTCAGCTGTTGTAGTGAAGCTGTGATAGATTATTCAGCTGTTGAAGCTGTGGTAGATTGTTCAGCTGTTGTAGTGAAGCTGTGATAGATTATTCAGCTGTTGAAGCTGTGGTAGATTGTTCAGCTGTTGTAGTGAAGCTGTGATAGATTATTCAGCTGTTGAAGCTGTGGTAGATTGTTCAGCTGTTGTAGTGAAGCTGTGATAGATTATTCAGCTGTTGAAGCTGTGGTAGATTGTTCAGCTGTTGTAGTGAAGCTGTGATAGATTATTCAGCTGTTGAAGCTGTGGTAGATTGTTCAGCTGTTGTAGTGAAGCTGTGATAGATTATTCAGCTGTTGGAGCTGTGATAGATTGTTCAGCTGTTGTGAAGCTGTGATAGATTGTTCAGCTGTTGTAGTGAAGCTGTGGTAGATTGTTCAGCTGTTGTAGTGAAGCTGTGATAGATTATTCAGCTGTTGGAGCTGTGATAGATTGTTCAGCTGTTGTGAAGCTGTGATAGATTGTTCAGCTGTTGTAGTGAAGCTGTGATAGATTATTCAGCTGTTGAAGCTGTGGTAGATTGTTCAGCTGTTGTAGTGAAGCTGTGATAGATTATTCAGCTGTTGAAGCTGTGGTAGATTGTTCAGCTGTTGTAGTGAAGCTGTGATAGATTATTCAGCTGTTGAAGCTGTGGTAGATTGTTCAGCTGTTGTAGTGAAGCTGTGATAGATTATTCAGCTGTTGAAGCTGTGGTAGATTGTTCAGCTGTTGTAGTGAAGCTGTGATAGATTATTCAGCTGTTGAAGCTGTGGTAGATTGTTCAGCTGTTGTAGTGAAGCTGTGATAGATTATTCAGCTGTTGAAGCTGTGGTAGATTGTTCAGCTGTTGTAGTGAAGCTGTGATAGATTATTCAGCTGTTGAAGCTGTGGTAGATTGTTCAGCTGTTGTAGTGAAGCTGTGATAGATTATTCAGCTGTTGGAGCTGTGATAGATTGTTCAGCTGTTGTGAAGCTGTGATAGATTGTTCAGCTGTTGTAGTGAAGCTGTGGTAGATTGTTCAGCTGTTGTAGTGAAGCTGTGATAGATTATTCAGCTGTTGGAGCTGTGATAGATTGTTCAGCTGTTGTGAAGCTGTGATAGATTGTTCAGCTGTTGTAGTGAAGCTGTGATAGATTATTCAGCTGTTGAAGCTGTGGTAGATTGTTCAGCTGTTGTAGTGAAGCTGTGATAGATTATTCAGCTGTTGAAGCTGTGGTAGATTGTTCAGCTGTTGTAGTGAAGCTGTGATAGATTATTCAGCTGTTGAAGCTGTGGTAGATTGTTCAGCTGTTGTAGTGAAGCTGTGATAGATTATTCAGCTGTTGGAGCTGTGATAGATTGTTCAGCTGTTGTGAAGCTGTGATAGATTGTTCAGCTGTTGTAGTGAAGCTGTGGTAGATTGTTCAGCTGTTGTAGTGAAGCTGTGATAGATTATTCAGCTGTTGGAGCTGTGATAGATTGTTCAGCTGTTGTGAAGCTGTGATAGATTGTTCAGCTGTTGTAGTGAAGCTGTGGTAGATTGTTCAGCTGTTGTAGTGAAGCTGTGATAGATTATTCAGCTGTTGGAGCTGTGATAGATTGTTCAGCTGTTGTGAAGCTGTGATAGATTATTCAGCTGTTGGAGCTGTGATAGATTGTTCAGCTGTTGTGAAGCTGTGATAGATTATTCAGCTGTTGAAGCTGTGATAGATTGTTCAGCTGTTGTAGTGAAGCTGTGATAGATTGTTCAGCTGTTGTAGTGAAGCTGTGATAGATTATTCAGCTGTTGAAGCTGTGATAGATTGTTCAGCTGTTGTAGTGAAGCTGTGATAGATTATTCAGCTGTTGAAGCTGTGATAGATTGTTCAGCTGTTGTAGTGAAGCTGTGATAGATTATTCAGCTGTTGGTGCTGTGATAGATTGTTCAGCTGTTGTAGTGAAGCTGTGATAGATTGTTCAGCTGTTGTAGTGAAGCTGTGATAGATTATTCAGCTGTTGGAGCTGTGATAGATTGTTCAGCTGTTGTGAAGCTGTGATAGATTATTCAGCTGTTGGAGCTGTGATAGATTGTTCAGCTGTTGTGAAGCTGTGATAGATTATTCAGCTGTTGAAGCTGTGATAGATTGTTCAGCTGTTGTAGTGAAGCTGTGATAGATTGTTCAGCTGTTGTAGTGAAGCTGTGATAGATTATTCAGCTGTTGAAGCTGTGATAGATTGTTCAGCTGTTGTAGTGAAGCTGTGATAGATTATTCAGCTGTTGAAGCTGTGATAGATTGTTCAGCTGTTGTAGTGAAGCTGTGATAGATTATTCAGCTGTTGGTGCTGTGATAGATTGTTCAGCTGTTGTAGTGAAGCTGTGATAGATTGTTCAGCTGTTGTAGTGAAGCTGTGATAGATTATTCAGCTGTTGGAGCTGTGATAGATTGTTCAGCTGTTGTGAAGCTGTGATAGATTATTCAGCTGTTGGAGCTGTGATAGATTGTTCAGCTGTTGTGAAGCTGTGATAGATTATTCAGCTGTTGAAGCTGTGATAGATTGTTCAGCTGTTGTAGTGAAGCTGTGATAGATTGTTCAGCTGTTGTAGTGAAGCTGTGATAGATTATTCAGCTGTTGAAGCTGTGATAGATTGTTCAGCTGTTGTAGTGAAGCTGTGATAGATTATTCAGCTGTTGAAGCTGTGATAGATTGTTCAGCTGTTGTAGTGAAGCTGTGATAGATTATTCAGCTGTTGGTGCTGTGATAGATTGTTCAGCTGTTGTAGTGAAGCTGTGATAGATTGTTCAGCTGTTGAAGCTGTGATAGATTATTCAGCTGTTGTAGTGAAGCTGTGATAGATTATTCAGCTGTTGTAGTGAAGCTGTGATCAGATTGTTTAGCTGTTGTACTGAAGCTGTGATAGATTATTCAGCTGTTGTAGTGAAGCTGTGATAGATTATTCAGCTGTTGTAGTGAAGCTGTGATAGATTGTTCAGCTGTTGTAGTAAAGCTGATAGATTGTTCAGCTGTTGTAGTGAAGCTCTGATAAGATTGTTCAGCTGTTGTAGTAAAGCTGTGATAGATTGTTCAGCTGTTGTACTGAAGTTGTGATTGGATTGTTCAGCTGTTGTATTGAAGCTGTAATAGATTGTTCAGCTGTTGTAGTGAAGCTGTGATTGGATTGTTCAGCTGGTGTAGTAAAGCTGTGATAGATTGTTCAGCTGTTGTACTGAAGCTGTGATAGATTGTTCAGCTGTTGTACTGAAGCTGTGATCAGAATATTGTTCAGCTGTTGTAGAAAAGCTGTGATAGATTATTCAGCTGTTGTAGTGAAGCTGTGATCAGATTGTTCAGCTGTTGTGAAGCTGTGATAAATGTTTCACCCGTTGTAGTAAACCTGTGTTAGGATGTTTCAGCTGTTGTAGTGAATCTGTGATTTGATTGTTCAGCTGTAGTACAGCTGTAATCAGATTATTCAGCTGTATGAAATAATGAAGTGAATGAGTATTTGAACCTACCTGTAGTGAATGTCTGTACTCTGCATGTCATCTGAACCTTTCACCCAGCCTTTAACATAGATGTCACTCATTTTCTCTCCTGTGAAGAAGGCATCATCTTCCAGCACAACATCATCAGTGTTCCAGATGATGCAGCGGAGTTCATAGCTAAAATGAAAGTAGATTCATCTGTACAAAACATCAAACAGTATTCTTGCATTCCCCTTAAAGTACATTACACTTCTATTCTTCAGTTTACTGATTTGACCAGGACCAAAATCAACAATCAGCAAACAAAATAATAGAATATATTTATCTTTGAGGGATATGAAATAGTCTAAAAGCAACAACTACAAATTATAACAAATTGTACCCAAACTCTTTCCACAATCATAAGAAATCTCTGCTGGAAGTAGAGTCAATTTAATGATTCCGACTATATCATAAGCATGTGTTTGTGAATCACTAAATATTCAGGATTTCAGGGCAGCATATCCTGCCCCACTGGTGGCACCTGTCTCAAACACAAGTCAATATTTAGTTTTAATTTACATTCTCTAATACAACTTTGCTTGACGCAAGAGCTAGGTAAATTGTTTGATAGGCATTACTTAGAAGATGACGGATGACAAGGTAGACACAATTTTATAGAGAACAACTTCTTTAATACTGTAGCTAGGTGACAAAATGGATTGAGTGGTGAGGGTTGGTCACTTGGTTGATTGAGTGACATCACACCATGAGGGTGTTGGATGTTTCTCATAATATCAATCACTGGTTTAATTCTCTACCATAGGGATGTTTTCATGTTCTCATATCAAAGCCTAGTTTGATATTCCATACAAATTAGTAGAATCATAAGGAATTTCAATTCTGGTGCCATCAAACTTGTATCATTTGTATTTAAAAGAAAAAGATTGTCAATCTTTCTAAAGACTGATAAAACATAATTTCACCACTGAGGTGCCAAAAACCACTATTAAACATCATTCTATATAAACATTTCCACCTATGGCCATTTCTCAGTGTCAGATGGTATTGAAACTCAGTTGCAAAATGAGCCATTGAAAATTAATAAAAGTAATTTGACCCAACTTAAATTAAAATCTTCAGCCAATAATTTTGTAAAGCAACTAATATAACAAAACAAATGAACATTAGTCATTTCCTCATTATTCACATGTGTTAAACCAATTTGGGCTTTCGAAAAACATGCCAGCATCAGTAATAGTGTTTGCTTCCCTTAATACTAGGTAGTAGCTTTATAGAGGATTCCTATAAAGCGAACATGTATTTAACTTGGGTTTCTATTTATTGCATGCAGTACCATGCATCAGGAGACGCTGCTTCTCGCTTGCACACACTGTACAGCAGCCACAAGGAGGATGAAATTTCCAAGTCAATAATCACATGACAAAATTCTTACACATATGGGAAATTCCCAGATGGAAATCAAAGGCAGGCCTGCAAAAATATCACCTATTCAATATCTTCATGAATAGGACGGAATTTTCTTATTTACATGTGAGATGAACGATTTGATTAGTTAGAAGTGCAAACTTAGGTGTGAATTATTTATTTATTTATTGGGTAAATGCAGTTGAACAGTGATTGGATTGGCAGCTACCTGTTAAAGTCAGTTTGGATTTTATCATGTCCAATGCAAATGGTTAAATTGAGAGATTAGTCTATTAAAGTTCATAAACTGAGATTTCCAAACTATATCTTGCAAATAGTGATCAACCTGCTGGCATAGAGACCAATCATTCCTATGTAAATAAGATATTTCTCGTACCCTATCAATTGGTGGTAAGTCTTCCTAAAGGACATTTCCGAATTTGAAACATTAGTGACAGAAATGTATCCGATGCAACTCTCTATTTTGACTTGTACCACAAGTTTCCATGTTTTCACAGGTAACAACTGACATGCCTTTGCATGTGTTTGTGATGGGTGTGTTTGTGATGGGTGCCACGGATGGGGCAAGATACACTCACCTTTTTGCTAACACCTGGTATCATCACAATTTCATAGAGATTCATAAACACATGCTCATGATATAGTCGGAATCGCACAATTGACTCTGCTTTTAGCAGAGACTTCTTCTGATCATGGAATAAATTTGGACGCTTTTATTAAGACAAGAGATACTACCACTGTAGCAAATATGAAAATCTTTTTATTGACCAAGAATATCACGCATAAACCCATAAAAAATTCTTCACTTTCTAAGAAATAATAGCAACAGCAAATGGTGCAGTATTAGCACTGTTGATTCCTGAAGTGAGGGCACTCTGAAACTATATTCCCAGCAGTAATGACAGTGGCAGGATCTTCATGTATTCCCAGCAGTAATGACTGTGGCAGGATCTTCATGTATTCCCAGCAGTAATGACTGTGGCAGGATCTTCATGTATTCCCAGCAGTAATGACAGTGGCAGGACCTTCATGTATTCCCAGCAGTAATGACAGTGGCAGGACCTTCATGTATTCCCAGCAGCAATGACAGTGGCAGGATCTTCATGTATTCCCAGCAGCAATGACAGTGGCAGGATCTTCATGTATTCCCAGCAGTAATGACAGTGGCAGGACCTTCATGTATTCCCAGCAGTAATGACAGTGGCAGGATCTTCATGTATTCCCAGCAGTAATGACAGTGGCAGGACCTTCATGTATTCCCAGCAGCAATGACAGTGGCAGGATCTTCATGTATTCCCAGCAGTAATGACAGTGGCAGGACCTTCATGTATTCCCAGCAGTAATGACAGTGGCAGGATCTTCATGTATTCCCAGCAGCAATGACAGTGGCAGGATCTTCATGTATTCCCAGCAGTAATGACAGTGGCAGGATCTTCATGTATTCCCAGCAGCAATGACAGTGGTAGGATCTTCATGTATTCCTAGCAGCAATGACAGTGGCAGGATCTTCATGTATTCCCAGCAGTAATGACAGTGGCAGGATCTTCATGTATTCCCAGCAGTAATGACAGTGGCAGGACCTTCATGTATTCCCAGCAGCAATGACAGTGGCAGGATCTTCATGTATTCCCAGCAGTAATGACAGTGGCAGGATCTTCATGTATTCCCAGCAGTAATGACAGTGGCAGGATCTTCATGTATTCCCAGCAGCAATGACAGTGGCAGGATCTTCATGTATTCCCAGCAGCAATGACAGTGGCAGGATCTTCATGTATTCCCAGCAGCAATGACAGTGGCAGGATCTTCATGTATTCCCAGCAGCAATGACAGTGGCAGGATCTTCATGTATTCCCAGCAGTAATGACTGTGGCAGGATCTTCATGTATTCCCAGCAGTAATGACTGTGGCAGGATCGTCATGTATTCCCAGCAGTAATGACTGTGGCAGGATCTTCATGTATTCCCAGCAGTAATGACTGTGACAGGATCTTCATGTATTCCCAGCAGTAATGACTGTGGCAGGATCTTCATGTGTTCCCAGCAGTAATGACTGTGGCAGGATCTTCATGTGTTCCCAGCAGTAATGACTGTGGCAGGATCTTAATCCTGGGCACTCACACATAACCTTTATGAAAGGAAATAATTTTCCTTTGAGCTTATGTTCGACTTCCCATTGCCTTAGGTGTACACACTGTATGGAAAGGTAATTGCTATAATGTCATTTGTAGACTGAGTGTACAGAAAAACAAATTGCAAGTAATTAGTAACACAATGTTAGTAATGGGAGACGACAACCTCCTAACCTGCAGGGGGGGGTAGTTTCATTGCATTTGATGTTTTCCAACTTTGCCAGCAATCTGATATGTGATGAGTATTAGGATGGGGAGGATTCTGTCTCCTTGGATACCCCCCTTGGCTGTTGTAGGAAATACACACAAAAACAGCCACTGGCCCTATTTGAAAATTAATATACTGACTTTGTGACGTGCATATAAGTGTTCAACAAGCCTCCAGATCAGCTCAGAAATACAAAGATTTTCATATAGAAACTATGAGTCATTAAGATATCATAATTGTTGCTTTAAAAATATACACGCACCACGTCTCTAAAACGGCTATGTATGTCAGGTTTAACCACATCACCTTAATAAATAATTTCATTAATTTTGTTGCATGATTTTGATGGAAATACTATTGCAATTGCAATTTCAACAACTACTTCACATTCACATTCACATTCGAGTACCAGTTATACTGGTATCTGGTATCAACACATTTGCATTTATTGTCATGAAATTCATGACAGAATTTGTTTTTGATACATAAGTACTTACAATAATAATACTTTCAAATGTGTGTCACTTCATTTAATGAATAGGAGACTGAATATGTAGAAGAGAACATAATGAAGTCAGAATAATGTGTTAAGGAAGTAAATTATATTCAGATGTAGTGAAAGAAGGTAAATATTGGACGATGTAGCCTTTATTTCCTACTTTCTCTGTGGTTAGATATTACCCTCTTTTTAATAGTCTTCCATGGTGCTACAACTTTTGGGCAGTGAATTATTAATAAAGCTTCACCCTACTATTAGGCCTACTATCTATCTATCTATCTATCTATCTATCTATCTATCTATCTATTATTTATTTATTTATTTATTTATCATTCTGCATTGGAGTTAAAAATGCAGGTGGCCTCTGAATTTATATAAAACATTAAATAATGTATAAGAGGGTCTATATTACTAGCGGGAGACATAATAAATATAACTTTTTAATGTTATTTATTTCTTAGGCCGGCTGCTTTTCAGTAGGGGTGACAGGCCCATTAAACGAAAAATAATAAATGTGTGGCCTTAGCAATCTCTGGGCAATCAGTGTCTAGGTTTTGCAGTTCCAAAGAAATTTGATACTGAGATATTTTTACAAATTTCAACAAATTATGAACCAAAAAGTGAGCTTTGTGATTTAGAAAGTAATACTTATAAACATTTATGATGAAAAACATTTGGATATGATTAAGCTCATAAGAATTGATGATAAAAGCACAAAATTACATATTACAATTGACAGACCCCATACATATTACCTTGTAATAGTGTATTATAAGTGTATTAGTGAATGAAACAAACAAACCAGTTACTGTATACGATTTTCTCTAGATTATATCCTTTTTCAGGAAGGACATGGAATTAATTAAGCAAACTCCAATAGTTTGATTAAAAATAAATACAAAAACATGCTTTCAGGCTCGTCAGATGCAAAAAATACCAAAACAGTCTTGTCAGGTGAGGAAATCTGATAATTAATTTTGAAAGAAAACATACAACTTTATGGAGAACAACTTGCATATAGCGATGTTTCAATGTAGATCCTTACACTGTTATTAAGCTGGAGTGATGGTCTAAGAATCTACATTGTAACGTCGCTATATTCAATAAACCAGAAGTTGATATGCATAAAGTTGTACGTTTTCTTACTTACTAATTAACTTCTAGATGGCCAATCAAACAATTAATTAATTTTGGGTACTTCAAAAAGACAATGCTGCCTTAATGTTCTAAATAACAATATATGATATTTCAGATATCAGATATGCTACTTATAGATAAAATAAAAAAATCTAAAAAGGGTATTGTCTCAAGGAACAGGGAGAAAAACTTACAAGCTACAAGGAATTTCCCAGTCAAAAGTGGTGGCATGAGCTTAGTCAGTCTATTTTTGGAACAAATGAAACTGTCTGTTACATCATGAATAAATGGATTACTTCCTACTCAATGATTTGTGACAGTATGTTCATATCATGTCATGTTGCCATGGGTTGCTTTTCAAACTATCAAACACTGGAACAATTGGCACAAACCAGCTAATCAGCATGAAGCAATGATAATACTGGTCAGTGAGAATTACTGAAAATATGGTCACCAATGTGCCCCTATGGGTAATACAAGAAGAATTACTCTGATATACATTTCAATGCTTGGAATATTTTGACAGTATGTGTGACTTATGCCCACAATAGGTATAAGAGCGGAAGTGTAGACTTAGTTTTAGTGTCAAGCTGGTTAGTGCTTCTCTTGTTCAAGACCACTAGAATGCAGATGTTACCCTCCTAGGTTGTGACTGAACTTTACCTCTTAGGCTTTCGTGGGGAGATGTCCACCGGTGCAGCAGGACAGGGCATATCCATGGGGAACATATCCACCCACATCTCAATCTTGCCCTGAAGCATAAACACCAGTCTCATCCCATCTGATTGTCAAAACAATTATCAGAAATTTCAAAGTACAGCACATACATTTTTTATGATACAGCTATGACCTCAACTTGGTCAGGGTAGCCATATATACCATATACCTGTCAAAGGGAAGAACAGTCGTCAAGAACATTTACTGAGAATCTGGTAGTAAGTTCCACCACCGAGAATCATCAATAGCTTCACCAAGTTGACACAGTGCATTACTACCTCATCATTCCAAAGTGTTGGAAACATGACTCTCAACAGCTAATGTGGCCATGTTGCTGATACAACCTCCTATTCAAATTGTGCAATCATCCTCAATAGCTCTTGCAGATGGCAGAAAACAAAACAAATTACAAAAACAATATGTAAACCATTATTTATTCTAACAACCAAATCAACATGTTGTCCTGGTAGGTACTTCTTTTTTTCTATGATAAGATATCCCTGCATGTCTGGCCTCAACACTGCAGCAAGGAAGGAAAAGCGTGGTTATACCAGTTTGGATTATCAATGCACCATTCACATTGGCTGACCTATACATTAAACTGCTTCAACATACAATGCAATATATCACAAACTCTTTGTGCGAAGAATGCATCTTCATCAAATGACCATCCATGATCATGTGTGCTTGTTCCTCAGCCTGAATGGTTACAGTGTGTGTACCCTCATCCCCAGTTTACTGAAGGCTGCTCTGGTCAACATCTTGTACTCAGGCTCAATAGTCAAACAAACCATCTCTGGACAAAGAATTTCTCCCTACTTTGTGGACATTGTCAACACTCAACATGTTTGGAGAAATTTAAAGCCATGCTTGAGGGTTACGATTTCAAACTTTTGGACAAATACACTTTAAAGAAGCTGGATTTGCAAAGACAGCAATGATTATTAGGATAGAGGTGGCAAAGCCAGATTTCAATATTAGCTTGCTTGGCTATCCATGAGAGCTCCCTGACCCTCTGAATGGTGAACATTCTGAACAGCGGAAGAAGGCGTGACGACACATGTCAGTACCAGCATCAGCATATCTTAAGGATTACTTCATTAGCACTTAGTCTGTAATAGGGCTTAGACCAGAGTCAATATGTGTAGTCTTCCAATTCTGGGCATTGTCCCAGGTGTGAGGACATGTGACTCCACCAACCCCTGGAATGTTCAGCCACAAAGAAGGGATTCCTCAAATTCTTCATGTTTCAATTTTCAGCTTGGATACATGCTCATGTTTAAGAAAACATAATATTTGTTTAAGATTAAAATTATTGTTGTATGATGGCGAGATGTAGGCAAGGAGCATGTTGCCTTACCTGTTCAATGCCAGGTTTCTCTGGGTTGTAGAGAGGTCGGGTCTCCACATGTTCAGGCACCAGTTTACAGCCGACTTTGGGGATCTCCTCCCAGTGGTTTAACACTGCCAGAGCAAGATGCTCATCCGTTGCCTTCTTCACACCTGCAATTCAATACATGGCTTAATTTACTAATCTACAACCATAAGCCAAGTATTAGGACAAACATACAAAAGGTTCTGTAGCTCACATTAGCAGGAGCATCAATATTCTTAATCATATTTGAATATACCACACATACACAGTGGCTTGAACAAAGATACTGTTGAACTTATAAATTGGTGGAATAATTGGAGAATCTCAAAAACATCTCCTTCAACCCATATTCAGTAATTTGTTTATGTTCAGGTGAAAGTTTGCATGTCATGAACAGAAAATATGCTACAAAATGAATATGAAGTGTAATCTACCTCCAAAACATATTATTAATAAAATTACAAAAAGTAGAGATGGCAATAAAATCAGCTATTATATAAATGATCAGAAAAAAAATCTCATTGAATGTAGCAAGTTGAACATAAACTTCCTTACAAAGGCATACTGATATACATAGAACATACAACAAACGGAGTAATGAAGCTTATGAAGTATGGTTATTCAGTCCAGTACACACATGACACGGTTTATATGGTTAGTGGTTTAATTGAATCAGCTGCCTCTGTATGCTTCATGAATCATGACTTTATCCACTTTACATACATCACTATTGCCTGAGAGAGATTTTGTTGAACATTATTGATTTTAGCATCAGAAGTGTATCTTTTTCATATCAGCTTTATTTACTGCTTAGTAACTTCACATATGATGGCTTGACAGAGTAACACTAAAGAGGGTTCTACATATCTCTTTCTTCATTCCTTTGGATTAGATTGATTAGAAACTCAACAGCCAAAGGCATTTTACAATAAGAGAAAGAAAGATGTAGAGCAATAGCAACTATTACAGATTATGGTAGAGATGTATTCATTAAGCTGAGTGAGTGCGAGCTCCCAGCGTTAAGACATGTAACACAAAGTACCAGATGGTGACACCAGCATACACAGCAGCACCCTCACATGAGTGGACAGCGAGGATACACCGACAATGGTCAACAGCAATACAGGAGATGTTAGGTAAGTTATATACAGTGGCCAGTTGACTATATTGTTACATCATCTCGTGGTGTTCTTGCTCTAGTGTAACTACACACATAAGGCAGCCCAGCTGGCAAGTGGAAGCAGGTGGCAAACAAGACATGATCTGGTTAGCACAAACAACGTCATCATCCACCGTGGACCCTGGGGTGTTGCCCCGTGTGACAACTTACCCTTAGATTGTCTGCGTTTGTTCTTGGGTCTCCTATCCTCATCTTCATCTTTAATAAATAGTCATATTTATGAAGTTTACTCTGTGCATCTTGTTCCAGTATTTTTACAGGGGTTTTTTTCAATCCTAGTATGCAAAACACTCAAAACTTTTTTTCAACTAACTACCTACCCCACTTGCCATATGTTGGGCAGATTTTTTTGATTTTTTCACTTTGATTTTTGTCTGACATATAATAGACCCACTTGAATGTTTTCATTGGGTAAAAAAATTGGTAAGCAAATATTTTTGCATAAACACTACAGACCCTCCTCTGGCAAATAAGCACATTACCTATTCCTCCCTCCTCTACCAGGAAACTTAATGCTCTCAACATGTGACAATTAATCTCTCAATTTTAAACTTAGCAAAACAACTTTAAAAACAAGAAGATAAACACAGTTGGGTCAAAGTTCAGACATGAGGGTCATATCCAAATAGAGGCTGACCCCAGTTAGGCAATCTGCCAATTTACGCTTGCAGCCTATCCAAACACATTAGTCATGGCATTTAACTGGGTCTGTCCACTTTCTCAGAGCAAGGCCTGCATCTAATTTATTCCTGTTTACGTTTCTGATAATCTGTTTACATGGCAAAATATTGTAATTTCCTTCAGTAATGACTGGCCATCAGCATTACTGCAGAGGCAAAGGGGGGCAAGTGTTTGCCCATGTCTTCTTCATGGTTTAGGACTGTAACGCAAGAAGCCAGGACAAACGCTTTACTCAGAAACAATTGCTGACATTAGGGAAATGGCACGAAACTCAACTTAGGACAAGTGCCAGGACTATGCCGTTTATTCCCCATTAATCATATTTCATCCAAGATTTCTTTTATATGGAAACGTACAAACTATTGTGTCAAAAAACAGCATTACAATCACAGGGAAGCCATAAGCCACATCTTTCTCCACTCAGCCACATACAGGTTTGGGGAATAATCAAAGATGTGATCAGACAACGAATCCAATCTTTATATCACAAGATGAAAGGCAATAATACAAGATCACATCTCATTTGTAAATTAATTAGGTGGACATTTTAATTTCTTGCTGGATGACCTATAATTAGACTTCAGAAAATCCTAAGCTTATTTTAAAGAACAAAAATGTAATTAATCTCGGACAAACTCATCTGGAAGTAGAAACATAAACATGAAAGATAATTGTCTAATTGTGATATACGAGAATTTATAAAGGGAATGGATATTTATTTATGGATTACCTAATATTCAGAAACAAACATCAACTCAGGAACATAAAAATATGTATTTATAATCCTCTGCACCACAAAAAAAGACAAAGTTTGTGTTATATTTGAAAAGGCTATGACAAGGTACAAGCTGAAGCTTAAACATCAATATTGACTTTTATTTACACAAGAAGTAAGAGATGACTAAGAGAGTGACAAAGCAAAACTGTTCAGGAAATAGTGTCAGAAAATATTTGTGCAGAACAACATTAAATAAAGAAATACTCAAAGTCATCAGAAACAAATATTGGACAAGAAATAAATATTTAATGTAGGGAATTGATTTACAAAATAATTGTATCACTACTTTGATGTTAGCATGAGGATTAATTGATTCAAACTTGAGACATTTCCAAACATAACACCATAGATTTTCACCCAACTTCAACATTTCTTTTCCAATTGAGAGAGATTGATTAATACAATAAATCAATTGGGTGTGCAATGACATTATCACTTGTTTTCTTTAATATCTTTCTGATAAAACATATTATATTTTTTTCCTGTGCTTATTCAGTCACACAAAAAGAATAACTGAACTTGCACCTTTGAGATTGTTTTTCACTCTTTCAACACCAGTCAATCAGAAGCTTTTACTGCTATGACACTGAGTTCCCAGAGAGTCTGGGGGTGATAGATGAACCTATATTTATCAGCTTATAAAATATATATACATCTTTGATACTACATGTCATACACCATCTGAAATTTTTAATCCTACTCTTTATAAATATGAAAGTAATGTTTATCATATTAGTTAAATATTGTATTTACAACTTAATTAAGTTTGTTTTTAACAAAAATGTAAGCTAACACATTCATAATGTCCAGATTAAGCACCAAGGAAGCGAAAATTATAGCAATCCACTTACCTTTACGTAATCAGAAATATGATAAGAAGAATTTTTAATACTATCTAACATTGCTACCACCATTTTTCGATAATAATAGCTCTCTCCGTACAGTAACATGAGAAACCATCAGGCAATGCCTCGCATTTTGAAGCTGTGTATGAATAACAAATGCATAGATTTGTTTGTTGTTTGGTATTGTTAGAAAGCTCTGATAATCATTAATATTACAGTAACCTTGCCAGAAGTATTTTTGTAGTTGTAACATGCAATTATATTGGATAGAAATTAATTTTTAAAGACACTTTTGTAACCGGAATATACCATAAAGAATGTGATTGGTCAAATTCAAGCATGTGAGTTAAGGTAGCCAATGTAGCAGGAAATCATGACCTGTTTCTAAATATAGAACTTCATGGACATATCGTGCAAAGTTACGACCTCTTACAAAGATCTTTCAAGCATATAATTCAGTTTTTAACATCGTGTCCAAGCCTAAAAATTGAGGCTACAAAAGGCGACATGTCATTTGACTTACATTTCACGATCACTTGTAAAGATGGAAAGAGTAACTTAGCTGTAAGTTAGACAACATTCAAAAATGAGTTTTGCTGATTTTATTTATTACAAATAATTTATTTAAAGATTTGCTTAAAATGTCTCAAATGTACCTTGTCGTAGCATGTGTCCCAGAATTGTTTTTTCAATAACATAGGGGGAAACAGTTAATAATTTAAAACTATCCATAAAATATGGTAAATTGAAATGAAATATGTATTTTCAGACATTGTGATTACTTGTAGGTTCATACATTAATATTATTTTGACGTGGCTATGGCCTGGCCAGTTTACCAGCCTGCAGTGTCTGGAGACTGCGGTATTGAAAGAGTTAATATGCTTTAAACATGAAAAACTGCTTATATATGAATTGCCATAGTTGTTGTTGATGAACATCAGGATGTTTTTGTATTCATAGTAAGTCCAACAGATGAAACAGGAACTGTAGTGTCTGACGTCAAACATTAAATAAACAGTGTCAATATACATGTGAATATCAAACATCAACATCAGAGAATGCCTCCAATTTTTTCCTGAACAGCTTTTTTTACTCTTCCATGTAACCATTATTACCAGAAATTCAAAACAAAAGTGTTTCAAAATGATTGATATTGCTACTTTCAAGCGTTCCTCCGGCCAATGCCTGTGCCTCACAACGGGAACAATACCCCACAGCTGTCTGTGACGTCCGCTAAGAGTAGAATTACTTTTCTTAATGTATAAGCATTCAACTTGTCAATAATTACCAGTATGAGATTATAATCTTTTATATATATCATTTGTTTTTTGGCTATATTGTTTTTGTTTTCTGTTTATTTAACTCTACCCATGATCTTTTCCATCTTTGAAAAGAAAATGTCTTCATTTTATTAACTTACATTACCTTATCAGCACTCGCATAATTGTATTTGTTAATTTATTTTCATATTTTGAGGGGATCTTTTCCTATAGCCATCTAACCCTGCCATTAATAAATGCTTGGTTACTTAGTTGATACATCATATCTTCTTGTATTAAGAACAGTTTTCATTGGGTGCCATAGAAAAACCTTTCATTTTAGGATTAGAATTGATAATACATGATAAAATCAATCACATTAGATCAGAAATCATCTAAACAATATGATTACATGAATTAATGAATAAATTATGCAGTTTGTCATTTATTCAAAATAAATGATATTGCCACATACAATTTGACAAACAATGAACTTGGTTTAGTGATTGATGAACACAAGCACAAAACCTCCAACCACACAAATCAGGCCGAACATCTCGGCATGATTAAATATATATTTGATTTATTGAATAATGACAGTCACTCACAATAAAGAACACTGAATTTCAATCTATGGCTCTAACCACAACATCCATGTATCAACTATCTGAGGTGACCATTCCCCAGAGAGTTACACATATGGCTTCATAAACACAAAATTAAGTTTAAAATCCATTTCTGTTCTCTTAATGTGCATAAATGAAACAATGTTTCAAATTTTAGGCCTCAGTAACTTCACCAAAATTTCAGTTTAGACAGATAATGGTTTGACATCTGAGGTTGAACTTTGGAAAAAAACTTTGGAGACAAGTAATGTGTGATATAGTATGCCATGGAGCCAAATCGTCTGCCAGTCAGCTGATTGAGTTTGCTGTCTGTGTTTGAGTTACTCTCCACGGGACATTAAACGGAGAGAGTTGTTCATGCAGGCTTGCCTTATTTGGAAACAAAACACCTCCATGGTACTTTAAGTAGAACTGACATGCAGCAGCAATATTGAAATCCAGTCTTCACTTTTTGATACTTTCCTTTCCAGATTACTTGTTATCAGTTAAATCACATTTGTCATTTATAAAATATTGTCAGAATTTTGTTATGTTACTAAATGTGTTTAGAAATAACACACCTGATAGTGGGATGGTATTTTTAACTATTTGATTTAAGCAGGACATTCTAACATTGAAAATATAAATAATACAACTGTTCATTTATATAACGTAAATTTTTACATTTCATCTGAAACATAATATTCATGAAATTAAATTCAACATCAATAGCAGTAATTAAAAAATATTTCACATAAAATACCATAACATAATATATTATACCGGAACATTTAATGATATCATGACATACATAATTTAAAAATTTAAAAATCAAGACACATATTTTAATAAAGCAATATTATATCATTTGAAGAAATAATCTGCCATGTTAAATAAAATCACACTATGAAGTATGAAGTATGATACATAATTTCATGCCATGATATGCCATCATAATATCATACCATTTTCATCTTCGATCTCGAGGGGTGCTGTGAAGATCCTGTTTGCGACCCTGACCTTGCCAGCCTGATAATGTGGACCATCCACCTTGCCATCCTTACACATCTTCAGCAGGATCTGGGTTGGTTTCTGGGGGTCCCGCCATGCATTGTAGCCATGCCTGAAACAAAGCATCGCCAGTCATCTGTCATGTCATGCACTATACACAAGTAGCTAGCATCAGTGGCTTTATAAAGATATAAAGATATAACTTTTATAAACTGCCTGTAAAACTACAAAATTGCATTAAACAAAAGTAATAATAACATATATGTAATTATCTGTTATTTGTTAGGTTTAATAATGATCAACATGTCTATTTCTGACAGTTACCAAAAACTCCTGGCTTTATCATGTTTTTCCTACTGTATGCACATACACCTTTCATAGTTAGCTCATGCATACATACATTTGTTTCATTTATTCTCAAATAACTAAATTGCTAAATGGCTAACCAAGCAATCTTTTTTGTGTATATTTTCCCATAAACTGAAAAAAGGCCACACCTACTAGCGGACTAACAGTTTCCTCGATGGCTGATAACAGGGAGGGTGGGGCTTGGTCTGCTCTATGGCACTCAACCATGTGACTATTTTCATATTGTTGTCTACATTTTCTGTGTCAATGATTAAACAAGCAGTCTGCGAAGTTATTATTGCTGACTTTTTTATTCATGAGAATTGACTTCAATTGTGTTGATGAAGGTATAAACTTAAAAAACGCTGTGCAAACTTTATGTAAAGTAGCAATTTATGTGTTCACACTAGATTTTACATTAATACCTCCATAAACACAAAAAATATTGATGTCATTTCTGGATGAGTTTGGAAGATAGACTGGTAGAAGTGTTTTATATTAGTTTCTTGGGTTGTAGATCATGACAGGAAGAGAAGCAGCTGTAGGAGGGACGTAAGTATTCCATGTCACTCAAATAATCAAAATTAGAAATACTGGCTAATTCTTAACTACCGGTAGTCATAAACATCTGATCCAAACACATATTCCAATCTTCCAGATAAAACACACATTAACAGTTTGAATCATTCAGCAAGTTAATCTTGTTGCTGACACATACCTAATCCTCGTCCACCTAGACAAGTGAGTGGAACAACTACAACAGCAGAGTAATGTAACACAACAATAGTGATGGGTGTGTTAGTGGGGAAAACAATCACCTTCACCCACATTTGACATAAACTTGACATCATACAAAGATAAAAACTTGAGAGGGCAAATTGTTTAATTTGTGTGTCCCTGTCATTTAGAATAACACAGAATGTTAATATTGAAACTGCTGCTGTTATTACCATCATGTGGACCACTGCATCCCTGGACTATTATAGAATTAAAGTGCCTGTATCTTCCCCAATTTGTCTCAACTCATGAGATTAACCCTTGTAATAAGATAAATGTTACTTTGAGGAAACAGTTTGATTGGATGAGTGGCTCTCCCATGGGAAGGAGGAAAAGTACCATTCCCCCTGTCCCCCACATGACAATTCTGAGCAATTTCCATTCAATTTCCTCCCCATTATAGCCTGTCAAAATTAATTTTCTTGATTAAAGTGAAGTGTCCAGGGCTTGTGATCTTTTGCCCTCCCAGGCACTGTAAAGATAATGTTTACAAGACAACAAACAAATTGGACAGGAATGCCTTGGGTTGGAAATGTTTTTAATCATTCTGTAGTCAGAAGAAATTTCCACGTTATTGACTTTGCTTAAGCAACATTATTCTCATTCTTCTCGTTGTAGGAGGTAGTTGTTAGTATATAATCCTGAAGCTATTCCATATTAAATTTCCCCAAAGCCTATACTTTTTCTTCCTAAATAGAAAAGTTAATACAATTCAATATTTTGATTTCACCATAATTTAGAAGAAATTCCTAACGTCCACGGTTAAATGTGTGAAATGAGAAAAAATAATGTTTCTGACGGAAATAGATTCAAAGATTTCCTAGTTTCTTATACGACATACACAAAGAGGAAATTAGTGTTCAGGTCAAAACACATCTGCTATAAAAATTTGGAATTAACATCATACAGAGCCTCATTTAATAGCTTAGGGCTTTCAGTCTGAGAAAAACTTAGAGTTGTAACCGGACCGCCTGATTGAGAATATTAATATTGATTGAAATTTCACAAATGTTTCACGCTGTCAAGGTGCAATATTTAACAGCCATCAAGTTTTACACACACATCACTGACTGTGAATGCCCCTCACATATCTTCATCCTTCTAAGAAAAGCTAGGGTAAATTAATGTGTATTAATGTGCAATATACTGATACAAATTGCTTTCTTTACAGATTTTAATTCATGTATATTTTCATTTTTTAGTTTCATTACACAAACATTTGCAATCATTCCAAATCTAATCTGGTTCAAAAAGAAGACTTTTAAATCATGAATTTAAAACATGTTGGACTGAATCTCACTGTTTGTGACTTGTCTGGGAATAGATAAAATCATCCACTAATGACACAAAAATTAAATGCTGAAAATATGCTGGAGAGACCTCTCCCATCCTTTTTCCTTGTAGGTAGCTGTCAATCAAACATGAGCAGCGAGGAGATAAAGAAGAAATTAGTATGGTGAATGACAGGGATCACACCCGGTGCATCCTGCCTGGTTATCAACCACAAATGAAGTGAAAACCAATCTACCTTGAGAGAAAGGTCTTGGGGATTGCCTGTCCAAACATCAAAATTTGACAAAGTGCCATTGCTCATTCAAAGAACATTTCTACCCAGATTCTTTAGCAAAATGTGACAAGCGGGAATTTCAGCCATGTTACAATCATTTCCGCAGTCATTATATTTGGCCATGTTCAAGTTCCATAAATACTGATTCAGAACTTGGTTGCCAATTTGTCTTCCTTTGTTTTTTCAAGTAACAAAAAAAATTGATCGCTAGGCCCTATGTGGTATGTGTAGATAAACAGTTAGGAAGTCGACTGGGAGCTTGGCCTTTCATGTTGCAGCCTCATTCAAGGGAACTGTCGCTTAATTGAGGCCGTCTCTCTAATGAGGTAAAGAAACAGTGTTTTGATCTCACACCTTATCAAATCTACTTGTCATCATTAACAAATTTCTTCACACCCAGAGGGGATGTGTTGACATGGCTGATGAAGACGTCAGGGCCACAAGATCAGATTACCTCCCCTGAATGTCCCATGATGCCTCTACACCTCATGCCTAAAACTCACTCAATTAGAAGCATTGTTACAAACCTCTAAGATGGTTAATTGAACAAATTAGCCCAGGATCTGCTTCTTACTCACAGGGAACCATGCATGTCTGGTCTTAGCCCAGTATAATGATGACAAGACACTATTTTTTCAATCTCAGCCTCTTGGCCTCTTGAATAATAATTTTGATGATTCAGATTTGATATTTTGATGAACAGTATTGCCATCTGGAGCTCCCAGGTATGGTGCACTAGGCATCAACTTTCGTTTTCAGTTTACAGTATACCATAGCACTATCTAGCCCATAGAATTATAAACAAATTAAACATGTCATGTAACTTGTATGAAAACCAAAGCTATAGACTTTCTGATAATTAGACAGTTCTTCAATATCTTGTCATGAAAGGAAACCAGTTCAAGGTCCTGGGTGCTTCAAAAGAGAGTGCTTGAAATGTATTTTCTATGAATATAACATCCCACAAACAACCACAAAAGTAAACAGTTTTCCCACTTACAGTTCATATTTGTGAGCCAGTCCAGAAGTGGCCCGATGCCGACTGTAGAACCTGTTCTCCAGATCAATCTTGCTCTCTCCTATGAGGTCATCCATTCCAACCAGGTCCCAGTCAAACACTTGCACCGACAACAGGGACTCCATGGGGAACGTGGCCTCAATCTCAACACACCTGCACATAAATAATGTTACATTTACTGTCGGGTTAATCTCAACACACCTGCACATAAATAATGTGACATTAACTGTCGGGTTAATCTCAACACACCTGCACATAAATAATGTTACATTTACTGTAGGGTCAGTCTCAACACACCTGCACATAAATAATGTTACATTTACTGGAGGGTCAATCTCAACACACCTGCACATAAATAATGTTACATTTACTGTAGGGTCAGTCTCAACACACCTGCACATAAATAATGTTACATTTACTGTCGGGTTAATCTCAACACACCTGCACATAAATAATGTTACATTTACTGTAGGGTCAGTCTCAACACATCTGCACATAAATAATGTTACATTTACTGTAGGGTCAGTCTCAACACACCTGCACATAAATAATGTTACATTTACTGTAGGGTCAGAATCAACACACCTGCACATAAATAATGTTACATTTACTGTAGGGTCAGTCTCAACACACCTGCACATAAATAATGTTACATTTACTGTAGGGTCAATCTCAACACACCTGCACATAAATAATGTTACATTTACTGTCAGGTTAATCTCAACACACCTGCACATAAATAATGTTACATTTACTGTAGGGTCAGTCTCAACACACCTGCACATAAATAATGTTACATTTACTGGAGGGTCAGTCTCAACACACCTGCACATAAATAATGTTACATTTACTGTCAGGTTAATCTCAACACACCTGCACATAAATAATGTTACATTTACTGGAGGGTCAGTCTCAACACACCTGCACATAAATAATGTTACATTTACTGTAGGGTCAGTCTCAACACACCTGCACATAAATAATGTTACATTTACTGTAGGGACAATCTCAACACACCTGCACATAAGTAATGTTACATTTACTGGAGGGTTAATCTCAACACACCTGCACATAAATAATGTTACATTTACTGTAGGGTCAGTCTCAACACACCTGCACATAAATAATGTTACATTTACTGTAGGGACAATCCCAACACACCTGCACATAAATAATGTTACATTTACTGTATAATCAATCTCAACACACCTGCACATGATTTATTTATACAGAATTTAGAAACAGAAAATCATTTTGATTAAGCAATATTTCTTGAATACATATAACTGATCCTTAAGAGAACACATGACACAGCTGTAAGAAAACATATTCATTTATTAGGATTTTCTATGCTGCAGTTGCCATAGTAAGAAAGTAGTGTCCTTTGGATCTCTTCAGTCTGTCAACAGAATTTGATGGGATATTAACATGCTTGTGATGAAAATTTAAAGTTCCAAATATAATGAATTCCCACGGAAAACAACGGCTACCATAAATTATCTTGTATTCAGAGCACTTAATCAAATCCACATAATCAGGCCCCACCCTCCTAAAAACCTGGAATGTGTCATGTTTTTTATTCAACAAGTGGAATTTTCTTTTCAGAAAAAGGTTCTGTATATTTTCTCGGCACTGAGAAGGTTACAACATCTTGCGTATGAAACAGTAGAGTGAGAAAATGTAAATACAGTCAGATGTTCAACTTAAACAAGGGTAAAGTAACAAAATCTTTGATTAACTATAAGGTTATCAATTTTCAATCACAAATACCAATTTCTTCACATAGCTGTTTATTACAAAACTAACACTTAGATTGCTTGGCAAAGATAATAAAATGCACATTTCTAAGGAAAGTTGTTCACGTCATGACATTAAACATAATATAATGATGCCTTTTGTGCTGAATATCAACTTTTGTTTTCCCCTTTCTGTTTTTACTGCAGAAGATGGAGACATGTTGATAGCAGTGGAGAGACTGACTCCCACAATCCAGTCTGAAATATGGAACAAGGGAGATTTCAACTCTGCATCTGACCTCTTAATTTGGCACTTGAAACTGTTCTATGTACTGGAAGCCTTGTGGACAGAGAATAGCTTTTGCGCTTCAGTTTATTTTATGGCTTTACTAGTTTGCTACCAACAGGTCACTACGGCAAAACAAAATAGCCCATGCGTACAGATAAGTTTCAGGGAAGGGGTATTGGCTTTCTTGAAAAAGGCTACATCATAGCTAGCCGTATTTTGCCGTGGCATGGTTCATCTACCCTCCACCAAACAGCATTGTTTCTCATGACAAAGGGTGTCCTCGAATTGGGGGGTCTATTTGGTCCCATACTAACAAAGCAAGCCTTATGACATGTACACAAATGCCATCGGGGATGTTTTTGATTTTGTGTTCCTACAAACATTTTGATAAAAACACAAAGGGATTTACAGCAGACATTTTTATAGATTTTTAATGACACAAAGGTGATCATTGGTGTGTGGAATTATTGAAGTGGAGGCTATACGGGAATTCAATATGTCAGCATAAAGCTGGGCAGTGATACTCACAACATTAATGCTATCACTTACTCCTCCAGGTATAGGGCAATGGGACTGAGGAACCACAGAATAAGGAAAGGCTTCATACTAATCAGCTTACACTTAATATTGTAAAGATAAATGCTGATACAAAGAGACACATAATAGGAAAGAAAACATGTTGTTACAAATTTCTTGCTTGTTATAGTAAAATAAATAAAGAACATTTTTAGATAGACATCAACAGATGTACTGGTCAGATAAAAAAATAACCTTTCAAAGTTGATTATTCATAACTTTTTAAAAATGTAAATAAATGTCATGTCAGCTATATTTCCATGTATAGTTCAACCATGAACATTAAATAAACAAACCAAAGAAACTCTAGAAAGGTTAGTGTGTAGGGAAACATTATCTATGCATGATCTGTATCACAGACACCTGCACTGTGTGTGTTCTGAATCACAGACACCTGCACTGTGTGTGTTCTGTATCACAGACACCTGCACTGTGAGTGTTCTGTATCACAGACACCTGCACTGTGTGTGTTCTGTATCACAGACACCTGCACTGTGTGTGTTCTGTATCACAGACACCTGCACTGTGAGTGTTCTGTATCACAGACACCTGCACTGTGTGTGTTCTGTATCACAGACTCCTGCACTGTGTGTGTTCTGTATCACAGACTCCTGCACTGTGTGTGTTCTGTATCACAGACACCTGCACTGTGTGTGTTCTGTATCACAGACTCCTGCACTGTGTGTGTTCTGTATCACAGACTCCTGCACTGTGTGTGTTCTGTATCACAGACACCTGCACTGTGTGTGTGTTTTGTATCACAGACTCCTGCATTGTGTGTGTTCTGTATCACAGACACCTGCACTGTGTGTGTTCTGTATCACAGACACCTGCACTGTGTGATCTGTACCAGACACCTGCACTGTGTGTCTTCTGTATCAAAGACACCTGCACTGTGTGATCTGTATCACAGACACCTGAACTGTGTGATCTGTACTAGACACCTGCACTGTGTGTGTTCTGTATTAACAGATGTACTGGTCAGATAAAAAAATAACCTTTCGAAGTTGATTATTTATAACTTTTTAAAAATGTAAATAAATGTCATGTCAGCTATATTTCCATGTATAGTTCAACCATGAACATTAAATAAACAAACCAAAGAAACTCTAGAAAGGTTAGTGTGTAGGGAAACATTATCTATGCATGATCTGTATCACAGACACCTGCACTGTGTGTGTTCTGTATCACAGACACCTGCACTGTGTGTGTTCTGTATCAAAGACACCTGCACTGTGGGTGTTCTGTATCACAGACACCTGCACTGTGTGTGTTCTGTATCACAGACACCTGCATTGTGTGTTCTGTATCACAGACACCTGCACTGTGTGTTCTGTACCAGACACCTGCACTGTGTGATCTGTACTAAACACCTGCACTGTGTGTGTTCTGTATTACAGACACCTGCACTGTGTGTGTTCTGTATCACAGACTACTGCACTATGTGTTCTGTATCACAGACACCTGCACTGTGTGATCTGTACTAGACACCTGCACTGTGTGATCTGTACTAGACACCTGCACTGTGTGTCTTCTGTATCACAGACACCTGCACTGTGTGATCTGTACCAGACACCTGCACTGTGTGTCTTCTGTATCACAGACACCTGCACTGTGTGATCTGTACTAGACACCTGCACTGTGTGTCTTCTGTATCACAGACTCCTGCACTATGTGTTCTGTATCACAGACACCTGCACTGTGTGATCTGTACCAGACACATGCTCTGTGTGTGTTCTGTATCACAGACACCTGCACTATGTGATCTGTACCAGACACATGCTCTGTGGGTGTTTTGTATCACAGACACCTGCACTATGTGTGTTCTGTATCACAGACACCTGCACTGTGTGTGTTCTGTATCACAGACACCTGCACTCTGTGTGTTCTGTATCACAGACACCTGCACTGTGTGTGATTTGTATCACAGACACCTGCACTGTGTGTGTTTTGTATCACAGACACCTGCACTGTGTGTGTGTTTTGTATCACAGACTCCTGCATTGTGTGTGTTCTGTATCACAGACACCTGCACTGTGTGTGTTCTGTATCACAGACACCTGCACTGTGTGATCTGTACCAGACACCTGCACTGTGTGTCTTCTGTATCAAAGACACCTGCACTGTGTGATCTGTATCACAGACACCTGAACTGTGTGATCTGTACTAGACACCTGCACTGTGTGTGTTCTGTATTAACAGATGTACTGGTCAGATAAAAAAATAACCTTTCGAAGTTGATTATTTATAACTTTTTAAAAATGTAAATAAATGTCATGTCAGCTATATTTCCATGTATAGTTCAACCATGAACATTAAATAAACAAACCAAAGAAACTCTAGAAAGGTTAGTGTGTAGGGAAACATTATCTATGCATGATCTGTATCACAGACACCTGCACTGTGTGTGTTCTGTATCACAGACACCTGCACTGTGTGTGTTCTGTATCAAAGACACCTGCACTGTGGGTGTTCTGTATCACAGACACCTGCACTGTGTGTGTTCTGTATCACAGACACCTGCATTGTGTGTTCTGTATCACAGACACCTG